CCCCTCCCCTGCGGTCGCCACGTGTCCGCGAATGCGCGCGTCCGCGCGGACACGTCCGCGGGCTTCGCGGCCTGGTTGTGGCCGCGGACTTGGCCTCGCCTGTCCGCCGCCGGGGGGGATTCACTAAACGTGACGGATCTCTTACACTATGATCCACCCTGTCCCGACGCCGAGCTAATCCCTCTAGAGCCAAATCCTCCTTCTATCTCCATGGCTCCCATCTCTACTTCCGTCCCTCCGCCGTTCGTCGAGTCCACCCCGCCGCTGCGCGCTGACGCTGACGCTGAGGAACTCGCACGATTACGGCTGACCTGGAGTCCGCAGTTCGTGACCTCATCCGAGAGTACCACGACGTTTTCCCATCGTCATTCTCGTACGCCGGCATCCCACCGATGAGTGACGTCGAGCACTCCATTCAACTTGTGTCTGACTATCGTGTTCACCACGAGGCACCCTACAGATTCTCGATCCTCGAGGCCACCGAACTCAAGCGTCAGCTTGAGGAGCTCCTGAGACTGGGTTTCATTAAACCCAGCAACTCCCCGTGGGGTGCACCCGTCCTCTTTGCTCGCAAAGCAGATGAAACTCCTCGTCTCTGCATCGACTACCGCGGYCTCAACCGCTACACGGTTAAGAACAGCTACCCCATGCCCCGTTCCGATGAGCTGTTCGACCGCCTAGCAAGCAACCGCTTCTTTACGAAGATTGATCTTCGTAGCGGTTACCATCAGATCCGCATCGCTGCAGCCGACCAGCCGAAGACCACGTTTCGATCGCACTTCGGCCACTATGAGTTTACGGTGATGCCATTCGGCCTCACCAACGCACCCGCTACCTTCCAGAGGGCGATGAACGACATCTTCAGGGACATCCTGAAGCAGTACGTTCTCGTCTACCTCGACGATATCCTGGTCTACAGTCGTACCCTTGAGGAACACCTCAGACACCTCCGCGACGTCCTTGACCGCTTGCGCTGATATGGCTTCTACGCCAAGTTGAGCAAGTGTCGCTTTGTCCAACATGAAGTGGATTTCTGAGGACACTACGTGTCTGACCAGGGTCTCCACATGGACGACGCGAAGATCACTGCTATTGTTGAGTGGCCCGCCCCCACATCCGCCAAGCAGCTTCGCAGCTTCCTAGGCCTGACCAGCTATTATAGTAATTTCATCCAGGGATACGCTAGGTATTCCTACGTCCTTCTTACTGCCACCCTCCTCCGGAAAACCCACCCTGGGCTTGGACACCCCTCTACGAGGACGCCTTCCGCGCCCTCAAGAAGGCGGTGACATGCGCACCGGTTCTTCACCTACCCGATTTTGATCGCCCTTTTATCCTTACCACCGATGCGTCAGACTTCGCTGTAGGAGCAGTGCTTTCTCAGGTCTTCCCCTCCTCTCCTCATTCCTCTCATCCTCGTATCCCTCGCTTCCCACCACCTACCMCTACCACTGCTTCCCGACTGACGCCTACTCATCCAGCTACTGACGAGCCTTCTATTGACTATTCTCCTACCATCGCCGAGGACGGCACTGTCGAGTCTCGCTCAGGTGATTGTCCGATAGCCTTCTACTCCCGTCAGCTCCTGCCGCCGAGATAAACTACACTGCTGATGAACGTGAGGTTCTCGCAATAGTTTATGCCGCTCGGCACTGGCGTCACTACCTGCACGGGGCACCGTTCACGGTGCGTACGGACAACTCTGTTGTCCAGGCTTTTCTGACAAAACCGAAGCTCACTCCTCGACAGGCTCGCTGGTGGCACGACCTATCCGAGTTTAGTTTCACCACTGAGCACATCAAGGGTGAGACTAATCGGGTCGCAGATGCCCTATTTCGGCGCCCTGACCACGACCAGGAGCAGATCCAGCTCTCTTCCATCTCGGTCACCACCGTCCACCACTCGGTGATCGACGAGTTTCGCACTCAGTACCGCCACTGCCCCGACTATCGCGACATCCACGCGACCCCTTCGGAGTGGCAAGACCGTCCCAAACTACTCTCTTGGGGACAACGGTCTTGTGTACTAGCACGGTTCACAGGGCACCAGAGAGCCCCGTATTTGCGTTCCCTCCACTGGACAGCTACGTGTCCGAGCAGTAGCAGAGTTCCATGACCAGGCAGCCACCGGTCATATGGGCTTCCACAAGACGTTGGCTCGTGTGAGCCACCTGTACGTCTGGCCGATGCGCAAGGACTTTGTGAAGGACTACGTCGCAGAGTGTCCCACCTGTCAGGAGGTGAATAGTGCGAACCACTTGCCTTATGGTTTGCTCCAACCTCTTCCTATCCCTGAGGGTCATTGGCAGTCCATCTCGATGGACTTTATCGGTCCCCTTCGTCCTCCGACCCCTCGCGGTCATGATGCTATCTTGGTCATCGTCGACCGCTTCACGAAGCGTGCACGCTTTGTTCCGTGCCGCTATGCCATTAGTGCACGTGAGGTCGCCGACATCGTGTTTGACCGAGTCGTGCGTGACCACGGCTTACCTCTGAGCATCATATCTGACCGTGACCCGCGCTTTACCAGCCGATTTTGGCGAAGGCTCCACGAGGTGTACGGCACTCAGCTCCGCTTCTCCTCGTCTTACCATTCTCAGAGATGGTCAGACCGAGATCACGAACAGGACTCTCGGAGATATTCTCCGAAAGATTGTTCGTGACGACCAGCAGTGGGATCTCCATCTTGCCCACGCGGAGATAGCCTACAACCACGCCGTCTCGCCAGCCATGGGGATGTCGCCTTACTATTGCGACCTCGGCTATCACCCGCGTGTTCCCGCGGACTTCCTTTGACCGTCCCAGCTGCACCCCGACACGAGTTGTCCCGCGCTAGATGATTGGGTTGCACACATGACATCGATCATGAAGACCGCACATGAGCACATAGCCGCTTCCCAGACTCGCATGGCAGCACGTGCGAACCGATTGAGGATGGATCATCCATTCAAAGTCGGTGATGATGTGCTTATCGACGCCCGCCACTTACAGCTCGAAGCGGACGCGCTTCGCAAGTTTCGACATCGCATCTTTGGCCCATGCCGCATCCTCCAGGCCGTCGGTTCTGATACGCCATCTAGCCCGGTCAACTTTCGTGTGAAGCTGCCCGACTACCTACGCCAGGCTCGTGTGCACGATGTCTACCACGTCTCGTTACTGCGTCCTTACCGCAGACCGTCTAAGCGTTTCGCTGGACGACCATACGAGCGCTCTCCACCCATCATGGTGAACGACCACGAGGAGTTCCTCGTTTCAGACATCATTGGTCGCCGAGTCACCGACGACAACCCTCCCCATGTCGAGTATCTCGTACGTTGGAAGGGTTACCGTGATGAGGAGGCTACCTGGGAGCCCCTCGAGCACTTGCAGCACGCTCGCATGTTGGTGCGTGCCTATGACCGTGCTCGTCGTGCTGGGTTCACTGCTCCTCCTCAGCCCACTGACCCTCCTCCTTCCCCCCCGGCTGAGGAGACCCCTGAAGTCGAGCCTGCTCCATCTGAGGCAGACCTTCAGCAGCAGCCGGATGCTTCTGAGCGTCCACGGCGCACTCGTCGTCGTCCTGCTCGATACGACGAYTGACTCTGACTTACCTTCCCACGTCCTTGACTTCTCAGTACTCCATCCACTCCAGTTTTGCTACTTCAGCTCGTCGACGTTGCAGCTCTTCCTCGACGGCATTCCGGACTTCTCATCGTGGACGTCATTGGCAACTTCATGAACTTCGTCACGATCAGCTCTGCCTACTTCAGACGTCGCCACTCTCTTACCAGCTTACCCTGTACAGTACCCTGCTTGTGTCGCATGATGGCCTCCCTTTAGCCAGGTTCCTCTGAGTTGGGCTCTCCCTTGGTATACGCATAGGCATCGGGACCGTTGCGTTGCCCTGGCTTCCCATCTTACGGATTTAGCTCCGACTTCCCTCACTTTAGGAGTCATTTGCATGATTCCCTTACCCATCATCTTTTTACCCTTCGCCGGCCCTCACGCCCTAGTTAGGCAGCCCCGCATGCTTCATCTAGGTGCGCCCAGTATACCAGGCTCCCTTGTTCCCTTGCATGGTCGACCCTCCATAGCGGTCACCCCTTAGTCGAGCATTATCCGCCCTGATGGTCTATCTGTTAGGGTCATTGGTTCTGTTCGCTCCCAGTTCCCTACCCTCATTGAGCCTGATGACATGTGTTTCCCCCTGTCACTATGTGTCGATGCCCTTAGGAGTTTTTGACCCCTAGGCTGCATTCGCCACCCTCAGAGACCATCCCACCCTTTGGTTTGCGACACACTTCTCCTGTGACATATGGTTGACTTGTTGTTGCTTTGTTGCTCTCAGACTGAGGCTACTAGCTCTGACATTTCTAGGATTTAGTTGTTCTGCTTTTGCTGTTCTTAGGACTTATACACTGGTCAGTTTTTCTCAGACTGAGGCTACTGCCTCCAACATTCTAGGATCTAGCTGTCACTACTTTCTGCTTTCCTAAGACATGTATGCTAGTAAGTTGCTTTTGCTTTCCTAGGACATGTATGCTAGTTAGTTGTTTTTGCTTTCAGTTAAGCTGTTAGTTGTGACATTGTTGTTTTGTGACATTTTCTATCCTAGGTTGCATCGCATGGACTCAGCATGGAGCTTGCTCCACATCCTAGACGACTCAGGTTTTCTTTTTCTTTGGTAGAGTTCCGCTTCTTGGTGGAAGCGTGTTTGCATTTAGGCGATCCATCACAGGCCGAGGATCGTGTAGCGGACCTCTGGTTGGCCTGTGAGACCAGCCCCTTGGCCTGTTCTCACAGACCTGTGTTCTATTCGGGGGCAGTCCAGTCCAGTCCAGGCCAGGCCGGTACCTCTGTCGGTACCAGCCAGTCCAGTCCAGTCCAGTCAGTCGGCTGGGGTATACCCCAACAGTTGTCTGTTTCATCCTCATTCTTCACTTGCACATTTTGGAGTACGTGCGTTGGAGTCTTGCGTGGGGAGCTGCGTTGTGCCATCTCGCTCCCCCCTTCTTCCTCCATNTTCACTTGCACATTTTGGAGTACGTGCGTTGGAGTCTTGCGTGGGGAGCTGCGTTGTGCCATCTCGCTCCCCCCTTCTTCCTCCATCTCCATCTCGGCCCAGGTGGAGCACCACACCCGGTGGGTCCGCTACATCATCAGTAGCATGAGTATCATCATCATCAGCGTCATCGTTATCAACAGCGGCATCATCAGGAGCATCAGCAGCAGCATCAAGATCATCATCATCGGCACCAGCCACGTCAGCGATAAGGCCGCCAATATCTTCATCATCCACAGCAGCAGCAGCCGCAGCATCATCAGCAGCAGCTGCAGTAGTATCATCAGCATCAACATCATCATGAGTGCTGACGTAAACAGAAAGGTCGTTGTGAGCACTAGCGAGGACTACTCCATTGCTCCCATGACCAAAGACGTCGTCGGTAGCCTCATCGCCAAAGTCGCCGTCAACGTCAGCAGCAGAAGTATCAATATTACGGAAAAAGGTGGCACCCCCGTCTGTAATTAGTATAGTATTCAATGGTGAGAGCACCGCGATGACCTCCGAGACCACGCGCGCATCCTCACGATCAAGGATGTCCGAGCAGTCAGACGATCAGACAGATCACGACCTTCCTGAAAAAGGGTATAATAATCGGACAAAACGCCATCTTCCTGCCGCCGGTCGATGCAGACGTCTAGCCGAGGATCCGGCCCCTCCTCGAGCTCCCAGATGATTGCCAACATGTCTTCACTGGTGTCTTTCATCCATCCGGCCAAAGTAAGCGTTCCCCCTCCGCCCCCTTCGACCAGGGGCTCCATGCCCAATCGCGAAGACAAATTTCGCACAATCGCCTGTAGCCGTCTGCGTCCTTCCTCCAAGGTAATCAGCCATGCTTGAGCACCAAGATGCAGCTCCCTCGCCGAAAGCTTCGCCATAGCAGGCCCAACTCACCCAAAGAACCGCGCCACTGTGGAAAAATTCCAATCAATTACGGCTGGCGCTGCCCCTGTTCACACGTCACAGGGCATCAACGACACCAAACAATAGGTGACACGTGGCAGCCAACCACCACAGCCACCAGTCGGGCGCGTGAACAGGCCCAACAGCCTGGAGGAACTCCCCCCAGCACGCTGGTCAAGCCGGGTGCGACCGGACCTTGCCGGTCGGCCGGCGTTGGGGCGCTAGCCCTAGCACCGGTTCTTCGTCGGGCCTACCATTGGGATGGCCATACTGGAACCAACTCAGAGTCGAGTTTCTTTATCCTTATGTTGTCTTTTTTCTTTTTTTTTCGGGAGATCCCACTTGACGAGGTGATAAGAGCAGCCCCGTTAAGTGGGTCCCGACGTTGAAGGCTCCATCTATTGGTGGGGAGCTACACCTGCTGGAAATCAGGTCCAGCGTCCCGGTACAATAACATCTGTCAGCTGAAAATCGGGTCCAGCATCCCTTAAACAATGAATCAGATGTCAAAAAAGACCCTGTTCAGCACAAAGTCAGTACTTGGAACCCTTCAACACCAGCATAAGAGAGGAGAAGTTGTAGTAGGGCAAAGGGGGTCGAATGAGATCAACATTCCGACACAAACCCTAAAAAGTTAGCCTCAATCGCGTCTCCCATTTCCCAGATTTAACACTACCACCATGAGAGGGGGGAGCGCCAATAGCTGGAGTAGAATGATCTTATTAGCAATTTAGCAATTATGTTTTGACGGGGGTTGGAGAAAAACGAGTAGGTCCACACTCCCCTAAGTTTGGTTTTCAACTTTGTGTGGGCGTCTGCGACAAGCACACACTGTGGATCATTCCCATGTATCGACAGTGCAGGTCGTTTGTCTTCTTTTTGTTGAAGAAGGCAGGGCACCGGCCAGTGGAACACTTAAAATGTTTTTTTTTGTGTCATAACACTTAGCCACTTCGTGTTTGCGTGAAGACGCAATTTCATGGTTTTCTAGAGGGGGGGGGGGGGGGGGGGGGGCAGCTTCGCCCCGTATTTGTTTCCTCCAAAAATGACACAATTTATTACTCTTTTATTTGAGGTGACAGGGGTTGTTGATGTGTATGACGGAGTCATTCATGGAGGACCCTTGTTGCGTCGGTTGATGCATGTGTCCCACAAAATGTACGAACTGCGGTTTTTCTATCCTCCCCTAAACCGATTTACAGGGACAAATTCATCTACTTCGTTCTTTTTATGTACTTCAAACTACACTCCTAGATGTAGACTTTGATGAAATCCTTGGACTTCGGCCAGAGGTATAGGCGGCAAACACGCGCTAACGTCTTATGAAAGCCCATATGACCGGCAGTTGCCTGGTCATGGAACACTGCTACAACCTGGACACGGAGTTGTCCAGTGGAGGGAACGTAGATATGTGGTTCTAGCTTACCAGATATGTCATGCCAATACACGAGACCGTTCTCACCGAGTGAGTATGAAGGAACAATCTTGCCACTCCGCAGTGTCGCATGGATGACGTGATAATCTGAGCAGTGGCGGTACTGAGTGCGATATGCATCGATCACCGACTGATCAACATGTGTGATGGAAATGGCAGCAAGATGGATGGGTTCCTGATTGTGATTAGGACGGAGGGACAAGGCATCGGCGACACGGTTCGTTTCACCCTTGATGGGCTGAGTGGTGAAACTGAACTCGGATAAGTCACGCCACCAACGTGTCTGTCGAGGGGAAAGTTTGGGCTTCGCGAGGTGAAACTGAGTTGTCCGAGCGCACCGTGAAGGGCGCCCTGTGCAAATAATGACGCCAATGCCAAGTAGCATAAACTACTTTGAGAACCTCACGTTCATTGACAGTGTAGTTTATCTCGGCATGAAGTAGCTGACGGGAGTAGAAAGCGGTGGAGCAATCCCCAACAGGAGTCTCGACGGTATCATCCTCCGCGATGCTCGGGGAGTAAGTAACGGGAGGACTGCCAGTGGAGGGAAGTGGTGGGAGGATAGGCGTCAGTCGAGAAGCAGTGTCAGCAGGAGGGGGGGGGGGAATGAGGAACATGAGGATAAGATGAATCCTATCCTAGGAGGAATATGGGGGTAAGGTGAACCCGAAGGAGAGGGAACCACATGAGAGAGTACAACTCTTACTACAAAATTTGACGCATCGGTGGTGATGATCAAGGGACGATCAAAATCGGGGAGGCGAAGAACCAGCGCACAAGTCACTGCCTTTTTTAGGGCGCGAAAGGCGTCCTCGTACAGGGGTGTCCAAAACCACGACGGTTTCTTCCGGAGGAGGGTGGAGGTAAGGACGTAGGAATACCTAGTGTATCCTTGAATGAAATTACTATAGTAACTCGTGAAACCTAGAAAACTGTGAAGCTGCTTGGCAGATGTGAGCATGAGTCACTCTGCAATAGCAGTGATCTGCGCGTCGTCCATGTGGAGACCTTGGTCAGACACATGATATCCTAGGAAGTTCACTGCTCTGGGCAAAGCGGCACTTACTAAGCTTGGCATAGAAGTCATGCTTGCGTACGCGCTGTAGGAAATTGCGGAGGTGTCTGAGTTGGTCTTCTAAGGTACGATTGTAAACCAGGATGCCATCCAGGTATACGAGAACGCATTCTTCAAGAATGTCCCTGAAGATGTTGTTCATCGTCGTCTGGAAGGTGGCGGCTGTATTGGTGCAGCCGAATGACATCACCGTGAGCTCGTAGTGGCCGAAGCGCGACCGGAAGGCGGTCTTCGGCTGGTCCTCTGTGGCTACGTGGATCTGGTGGTAGCCACTACGAAGACCGATCTTTGTGAAGAAGTCGTTGCTTGCCAAACGGTCAAACAACTTATCCGCGCTAAGCATGGGATAATTGTTCTTAACCGTGTAACGGTTGAGGCCGTGGTAGTCAATGCAGAGGCAAATAGTTTCATCCACTTTGCAAGCAAAGAAAAGAGGACGGGTGCACCCCAAGGCGAGTTACTGGGTTTAATGAAACCCAGTCGAAGGAGCTTTTCAAGCTGACGCTTGAGTTTTGTCTCCTCTGGAATCGAGAGTCAGTAGGGTGCCTGATGGTGGACACGATAGTCAGGCACGAGCTGGATAGAATGCTTAGCACCACGCATGGGAGGAATCCCATTGTATGAGAAATACGGGGGGAAAACGTCGCGGTACTCTCGAATCAAATCGTGAACGGCGGACTCTAAGTCGGCCTTGAACCGCCTGAGTTCTTCAACGTCTGCGTCAACACAAGACGTATGGGTGGACTCGGTAGTGAACGGCGTAGGAACCTGGGATGTCGAGGGGGTATCCGCGCTGAGAGGTGGATGTAGAGATCGGAGCCGCGAAGATGGAGGAAGGGTCGGGGGGATCGGGCTCTAGTGAGATGAGCTCAACCTCGCTACAGAGTGGATCGTAGCGAAGAAGATCCAGGAAGAGTAAAACGTGACGTCCTCCTGTCGTATGAAGTGAAGGCGATGTCTTCGTGAGACCTAGAGGAACGAGGGTCCTGGGAAGGTAGGTCGGGAGGGGTGTCGCCCGTGGTTCCAATGAAGGGGACTCGATGGGTCTGATCATGCTTCATTTTGAGAACGAGTGTCTCGGTCGCCCATTCGGCCTATGTACCACGGAACTGGTGAGACCAGGGAGTGCCAAGGATAAAGTCGTACCCAGTCTCCCTAGTGGAGGTCGGGGACCGTCTGATTGAAGAAGTGTTGCGTCTTATTATCTCTTAGGGTAACGGAGATGGGAGAGTGAGACTTGGAGGTAGTTAGGCGGGCTTCCTCCACCACGCGAGGGTGAACGAAATCTCCCTGCGAGCCAAAGTTCCATAAAGCGCGGTACACCATCATAGATATCCCTAAGTGGATAGGAACGATGGGGAGGGTGCAATCAAGGTCAGAGAGCAAAGTGAGAAGACGACGCAGTACGTTGGTGTCTCCTGAGTCTCTTCTCACGATCCTGAAGAATGCTCAAATCCAGGAGAGATGACACAACATCATTGCGAGTCACGAGTTGAGAGCTACAACGAGTTGTGCGAATGGCGTGACGCGTTGGAAGTCTCTGAGGGGGAGGACTAGGTGCGGCGGTCTGTTGTGGGGCAAACGGTACCTTGACAGACGGCGGGGCAGAGGGAACCACGTCTATCGTGTCTTAAGGGTCCTCTGGTGGTCGGGAAGCCGGCTACATGCGAGGCCTCAGCGGTACACTTCACTGTGGTTAGTTGGGTGGGGCTGGCCAGGCGGGGCCGTGGGGGGATTGAGATCGGCGCTGACGAGAGATGTCAACATAGTGTCGATCGAGGGCAGCATGGTATGGACACCGTGAGGAGGTGTGTCCATCCTGGCGGCAATGAAGGAGCCTCGACGGGCCTTGAGGGCGCCACGCTCCTCCGGGGATAGAGCTCCGCGAGGAGGGACAAAACCCTGCGGGAGGTCTATCTGAGGAACTGTGAACGAGCGGACTCTAGCCTGTGCAACCCGACTGAGCGCACGACCCATGGTGGACATGGTCATCTGTAGGCGCTCGACCACCGGCACAGTGTCGTCATCCAAGTAATATTGGATGACGTCTCGGAGCTCAATGTCCTCGGGGGCGTCCCCAAGGGTAGGGTCAAGTTTGGTCGAGGCATCCTCGTCGTACTCCAGAGAACTGTAGCGCCGAGAGAATGACGCTCCAGGTCGAGCTGGTCGGCGAAAGCGGCCGGTCAAGGAGGATCGACCGTGAGTAGCACCGCGTGACTGGGTGGCGGCGGCGGTGGGGCGAAGAAGATGGGGTGTCGGAGGAGCGACTCCTCATCTTCTGGTACTGTCGAGCAGCCTTGTAGGCCTGCTCTGAGGAGGCGAAGCTCTATCGCTAGAGCTCGATGCGGTAGTCAGTCAGAAGAATGACTATGTACCTGTTGGTCAAAAGGACTTCAAGTAGGAGTGCCTCATTGCAAATGGGCGTCCTGAAACACTCTGATGTGACGCTCAAGATCGGCTGGTGTGGGGAATCGCGCCACTGCATCTGGGTGACCCAATCTAGGGCGTCGGTCGCATCATGGATAATGTTGTAGCAGTCATGGAGGAACGCGGTGAAATCCTCGAGAGTAGGAGCCTCACTTGAGCGAGTACGATGAGAATAATAGTTCTCTCATGCGGAGAACGCGCTGCCTCGCAATTTAGTTGCGAGCGCGGAGCATCACAACTCCTGACCAGTGTTAGTCAGTGTCAATGCACGTGTGGCAGTCTGCAACCAGTGCGACACACGTATGGTACCATCGTAGTCGAGTACGTCCGACAGACGCACAAGGGTGGGACCGCTATTTTGACGCGAGGGGAGAGAGGTCGATGGGTCTGCACCGCGGCGACAAATGTCGAGGCTGGTGCAGAGGTAGAAGTGGTAGCAGGCTGAAAGTCGGGGCTGCTTGTGGAAGGTCCAGCAGACGTGGAAGCAATGGTCGCAGCCAACTATGACGGAGTAGCGAGGTAGGAGGGTAGAGGGGGGGGAACCGGTAGAGGGGAACGAACCGGCAAGACAGAGGTGGGAGGGGCGGTATAAGAAAAAGAAGGGTGAGCAGCCTGTGAAGGGTGAGGTCATCTCAAAGAGAGAATCTCCGTCTAGAGCTGCGCCACGGTGGCCTGTAGGGTAGCCACCCGCTGGGTGCGCGGGGTTGGAGGACGGAAATGATCGAAATACAGCAATCTCAACATTAGCGGTATAACTCAACCATTCGCATTCACACATACACTCACCACATTGCATGCGCCCACTACAGTCATGTTATTCACGAAGGAGCCAATCAAAAGGACATTCGGACGAACCAAGCGAATCCTGCACCAGTACATATGGAGAATTTGAATGAGCCTCTCCAAAAAGTTAGGGGACTTGGGAGAAGGGCCCAGCTGGGGGGTGGCAGAATTTTATTGTTTTTTGGGTTCAGGGCTGGGGCTGGTGCCACCCCATGGCATGGGACAATTTCTTTTTCTACTGGCCGTTCAGGCGCCCTGTCCCGAGCCTCTGAGATTTTAGGAGAGACTCAATCCGACTCTAAACTTGGCTGGGGCCATGTAGTGGTGGTTTTCCCATTTTTCCGGACTTTTCGGGGGTCTGACCGACTCTGACAGAGGGATGGCAAAAAGAAAAATTATGGGCCCTGTGGGCGCACTTATAAACAAAAAGGGAAAATTGCAACTGTACCCCACTTAAAGACGGGAATACCCGCTGTACCCAGTCTCAGCGCCAACTTGCACCTATACCAAGAAAATGGCCAGTGGAAATTATTTGCATGCCCAGGACTGAGGTGGACCCAGGTTGGTACCGCAAAATTGCAGTTATAACCAACTGCCGGACATAACCAGGCAAAATTATGGGTGTACCTCATATACCCTACTGGATGGATGAAATTATGCTCATACAGCTGTTGGGCCACAACAGCCCACGTGGTGGGCATGAGCATAATTTTGTGGCCCGCCATCCAAGGCCTGCCCGTGGCTGTGGGTACACCTGCAATTTTGCAGGCCCCATTGAGGGCATGGGCATAATTTCGCTGTCCAAAAGTGAGGGCCTGCGGGACTGGGTATGCCTACAATTTCTCAGAGGGGAGCATAACTTTGAGGCCCACCATCCAAGGTCCGCCCATGGCTGTGGGTACACCAGCAATTTTGCCGGCCCCTTTGAGGGCATGGGGATAATTTTGTTGTCCAAAAGTGATAGCCTGCGGAAAGGGGTGTGCCTAGGATTTCGAATAGGGGAAAGGTTGGGTACTATGCAAGGTTGAACGGGTCCGGGTAGAGATGCAATTTGGGCATTGGGACTGGGTATAGTGGGTATTCCCATCTGTAAGTGGGGTACAGATGCAATTTTCCCAAACAAAAAAGGGGGGGAAAAAAGAAGCAGCGCATCCTACCGCTATGATGTTGGCGAAGGCCGTGACCCAGGCCATCCTCACAGTAGCACTTCGGGAATGTATCTCGCCTCTATTTTGGGTGTAGGAAATGTTATGATCTCTGATTCTCTGTTTTTTTTGTTTTTTTGTTTTTTTTGGTAGTCCCCTGCCAGTGAGGCAGGACGCATTCCAGGGATTGCTTTGACACTGACAGAGGGTGTTCCATGGACTGCTACTTCTGGGGCCAGGACCCACTAGTACGGTCTTACTAAGCGCGGCCGTGCTTTTGGATCATGTGTGGCGTGGAGTGATGTTTGCTGCCCCTGGATGAAACTGTACAGCGACGAATTCCACTATCCGCTGAGCACTATTTCAGTCTACTGCTTGTTTCGGCCAATCGTCGGTGTAGGAAAGCAAGTAATTTCCTATTTGTAGCAGCGTTTGGTTTTCAAAATTTTTTGGGGTGGGGGGTGATATCGCAACTTAGTTTAGAGTCTCTCATTCGCTCTTGTCTCAAAAAAAAAAAAAAAGAGAGCGATCACATGCATTGCACATGCCATTTTGAAATCTTCACAAGCAAAGGTGCTATTTCCATTTTGGGTCCCTACGGAACGTCCACCACATTTCAAAAATTAGCAAAGCAAACAAGTACACTTCAAAATGGCTTTGTGTACCATTATGCTTTTGTTATATTAATCGGGTTAACCATATTTATTACCATCATAAGTCTTTGGGCTGCATCTCACAGGAGGGCCCACAGGCTGTTACACACCCCGTGGATGTCAGAATTGCAGTGTCTTAAAACACACTAATGCTCTCTCTCTCTCTCTCTCTCTCTCTCTCTCTCTCTCTCTCCTTTCTTTTTCTTTTTTTTCTTTTTTTTTTCGTTTTGTTTTTCGTTTTTTTTTGTGTGTGTTGTAACTCCAGGTTGTTGTAGCCGCTGGCCACTGGGCATATGACAGGCCTGCCAGTACCTGACCATTTGATCATCTCGAGGCATTGCCTAACCGGTCCCCTATGACACACCCTCCCACCCTCACTCATCATCTCTATCCCCGGCTCATAGAGCAGATGCTTTGCATCTGAATCCCATGC